TATAAAAAAAAGTTTCTAGATATTGGTTTACTAACTCTAATTATTTTCGCTTCATTTGCCATTCTTAAAAACTCGTTACACTTTTTTCTGCTTTAATTACTAATTGAATTACTAACTAATTAAAAAGCCCACTCACTAAACATCATCAGCGATATTGTGAAGCAGTTTCGCTTCCTCGTCATATTTCTAACCTTTTTAGTTGATTGTTAATTTAATGTCTGTAGTAATTCATTGATTTAGTTATTTTATTTGTTTATCTTACTAAGAAGTATTGCTTCAAATATGTTAAACTTTTCAAACTACGCGAAACATAAAATAGGTATTAATAAAAATTAGCTTTTTTATTTATAAAATAATTTAGCTTAAATAAAACTAAAACTTGCAAACTTTGTTTAATAAAGAATATTTGTTTCCTTTTTAAACAATCGTAAGAAGTTACTTTAGATAAAAAACATCGCTTAATTTTATAAAAATTTTTTGTAATTGTCTCTCATCGGTCCAATTAATCTTAGGCGCTTTTTTTTTTTTTGCTTGTTAAAATGTTCTCAAAACGACTAAAAAATCTGGCCAGCTTTTCGCAACTAAATATTATTTATGTGGTCAGCAATCGAGAGCGATCGCTCCCGCTTCCCGACCAAGCCTGAATATACATACATATTTTTTTTTTAAAGGTATTTAATAAGTTTACGAACTATTATAAACATCTTTAACATTATAACTATAATATTATTAACCAAAATAATTAATAACTATTATTATTTACTAAATTATTATTAGCTATTATAACCAACAATAACAGTTATACGAGCAGGTTTACTGATATTTTAATCATTATTTGGAAATATTTTTATCAATTATGATTTTTTAATCTTTTATATTATTTACCTCCCAATATGAAAATGAGTAGTAGTGGCCAGAGAAGACCAGTTGAGAAGGCTACCTTATCGTGGTTACAACTCTCTCTTAACTCTTTAACTCTTAAACAGGAATCTTTATAAACAAAGCTGCTGCGCGGAGAAACAAGTTTGTTCATTTGAATTTCAAGTTCAAAGTTTATTTGAAACTTCAGTTACTACCTCCCATTCTCTAGCCTTCTTTTTCCCATTTCTCTTTGACATTTTTAATTATATATAATAATACTTTTAAATTTAAGATAAATCAATACATATAGATTTGACAAAAAAAAAATTTCTATTACAGTTTTGAAATAAATTTTAAAAATCTTTTTCAAAAAAAAATTGGAAAACTTCTTGTTTTAAATTATTAATTAACAATATATAAAATATATTTAAATAAAGTTAAAGTAGAAAATGAAACTAACTTTCAATATCATTCAACAAAAAAACAAAAAAATATTTACAGAGACAAAATAAAAATGAAACTCAAAAAAACTCAAACTTACCCAATAAAACCCAAAATTACCCAAAAAAACCCACTGGGTTTTTAAAAAAAAACCTGTTTCTGTCAACGCTAACTGTTGATATAATTTTTGTCTATAAAAAGATTTTTTTTTTTCAAACATCTTCGCTACCAAGGCTGCAAGCAACCACTGACAGACGACTTAAAAGATTACAAATTATATAAATCAAGAAAGCAAGATAAAAGAAAAAAATTCCTAAGAACTGATGTTCAAGAGAAAAAACTAGAGGGATAAAAGTTTTTAGAGCACTTAGGAACAGTCACAAAAAAAGGATGAGACTTAATTGAATGACGAGTAACACAAGAATATTTTTGTAGATGGCACAAGAGATGCTAGCTTTTTAGAGCAGTGCCCATTACAGTATTTGTAGAAAAGAGAAAGAGAAGCAACATTAAGACTATGTGATATGGTTTCCAAGAAAGATTGGAAGTAAGAGTTAATCCTAGAAGATGAATCCTAGAAGATGACTCATCAAGCGCATTACCATTCATAAATATAGGAAGATCTAAATTATTGTGATAATGATTGGCTGAAAAGAATTGATTTTTATCTGAATTAAAGTTTATAAGCCACTGTGAACCCCATGCTGTAGCAAAAATAAGATCCTTTTTAAGCTCAAATACCCCTCCAAGCAATCAGAGAGTGTTGGCTTCTTTTTATGACAAGAATAAATATTAGTATCATCAGCAAACAATGCCACCTTGGATGTGAGAATATCTGGAGGATCGTTAATGTAAATAAAGAAGAGTATAGGACCAAGGATTGAACATTGTGGAACCCCTGAGGTTACAGAATAAGAAAATTGTTATCCATAAAGGGCAACTTTTATACTACAATTGAAAAGGAAGGATTTAATAATCTTAAAGATGTTTCATGATACACTGTAAGAAGAAAGCTTATGGAGAACACCAGCATGCCAAACTTTATCAAACGCTTTAGAAATGTCAAGAGTGATGCTTAGCCTTAACCTCTTCACCTGTATCTAATGCACGATAAAACCTATCTGTTATTACTGTAAGCAAATCAGCCGTAGAACGAGAAGATCAAAATCCATACTGATGATCAGAAAGTAAGTTATTAGATTCAAGATGAGATCAAGTGTTTGTTAATTAAAGATTCAAAAACCTTGCTTATGATAGGAAGAAGACTAATGGGTCGGTAGTTCGACAAATCAGATTGCTCTCCAGAATTTTTGAAAATAGGGATAACAGATGCCGCTTTTCAGCAGGCGGGAAAACATGACTTTTATAAGTACTTGTTGAATAGTTTTGAAAGTATAGACGACAGCTCCAGAGAACACTTCTAAAAGACTATAACAGGTAGTTTTCTGGACCACCAGCTGTAGAAGAGTCTAAGCAGGAAATCACTTTAAATACAGAAGCTGGAATGATACGAATGTCAATGTATCAACCTGTTTGACGGCTATATCAGGTAGAACCCAACTAGTGGAATCAGGAGATAGTATTGGTGAAAAGTTCTTAGCAAACAATTCTTTGTCTTTAGGTGAGGTATGGTTCATACTTTGTCTTTAGGTGAGGTGAAAAAGTCTGAACCATACAAGAGAGATGGAATAGCAGATTTGCTGTTAATATTGATACTATTAAAGATTATCTAGATGTCACGAGAGGCTAATTTTTGGGATGAAATACAAGATTTCAAGACCTGAGAATAGCAGGGTTTGGCGCTAGAAAAAAGTTTTTACAATGGTTTCTAGCAGTAATAAACAGACGTCTGTTTTCTGGAGAATTGTTTTGCTAATAGATATGGAAGTAACGATTTCAATTGGCAATTGCAGTAGCACAGTGAGGAAAACCATGGAGAAGAGTGAGGCTTGACCTGGAATCGTCAAAGAAGGTAAATGATTAGGGTTGTCTGGGAAGCGAGTTAGAAAGTTGACTACTTGAGTTAGGGATTGAGAAAGTTGTGGGCTTTAATGCCTACAGAGTCACTGACACAAGAGCCAAGCCATTCAGTGTGATGAGCATTAAATTCACCAACAACAACAATATTGGCTGATGCATAAAGAGAGATGGCTTGGTCAATATGATCAGAAATAACTTCAAGAAGAGTGCAGTCTTGAGATGGAGGAGAGCGATATAGAACAAAGAAAAAGGCAATAGAGTGAAGTTGTGCTAAACAAAAGCACATAAAAGAGTAGTCTGTGGATTCAAACCTAGTTTCCCAACAAATGGGTAACTTTTTACAAATGTAAATGCCCGGGCCAAGCATGTGGCTATTGGAGTCTTTTTTAGAGAAAAATATTCAAACACAACCATATTATAATACACTGTATGTATATATATGTGTATATATGTATGTGTTCATCAACCATCGACCATGGACCATCAAATTAGGGTCGGCATTCGGCAATCCTGACCTGAAAGTGTTTGAGGTCGGCAAAAAACTGCTGGGCATTTCCAAAAAATCACGCACGGAAACTCGTATATGTTTTTACTTTTATTTTTATAAAAATAAAACTAGTGATCTCCAATTTACTCTCATTTAATTCTAATTAATATAAATATTTTGTAAACAAAAAATAGTAAGCATTAGTAATGTTAACAAAGAATAAATAAAGTTTGAAATGGAATCACGCACGGAACAGAAAAACTTCTATTTTAGTTACTAGATAAATAAACTTTAATTCCTCAGACAATATAAGTTTCACCCGTATACTTTTTTTTTAAAATACTATTTTAAACATTAGTAAAGATACATCCAGAAAGTTACAGGATTGCACTATGAATCATAGAGTCACAGCAATCGTTTAAATGCAGTTTATGAATGATCACGCACGGAAGTCACGCACGGATGTTGCAAATTTGTCAATTTCATGTAGTTATTTTTATGAAAATAAATTGCTTGTGAGTATTTCAAGTGAAATATTATACTTCTGCGACTCATATTTAATATATTTTTGATGAGAAACGGCAGTCATCAATTATTTCTAGCTAGAGTATGGCGTTTTGAAAATTATTATATATTTTTCAAAATGTAGCGATATTATTACTCAAAAAAATATAATTGTAAAAATGTGTATATTTAATTTGTTCAGATAGCCTAAAATACGATAAAAATATTTTTGTTATAATTGTTCTTTAAGAAAATCAAAATAGTATGCATATTGCATAAAGTCCCAGCTTTTAATTGCTAAAGCAAAGAAAAATAAAAAACCACGCACAGAAATGGAAATGCCCTGCTGACCTCATTTTTATGTTTTATGGTTAAAACTTTGTATCAAATTGTTTTTGCTTATCTGATGCTGACTGTATATATTAATTATAGCAGAATTTGTTTTTTAGCCTTTTTAGCAACAGATGCTAAAAAGGCTAAAAAACTTTATTTATTTAAAAAAAATTATTTAACGTATTAAACAATTTTTAACTTTATGAGCCACTTTTGTTCAATACAAACATTTACAAATTCTAAACAGACTTTTCAGTAAACAAATTCTAAAACTATAATTTTTTAATTGTATTGCTAATCAAAGCCTTTTTTTATGGGTATTGAGACAACCCTCGGAAAAAATTAAAAAAAAAGCAATATGAAAGAATAAAATTATGGAAATATTAAACTATACCTGAATCATAAAACCAAGTTCACAATCATCTTCGCATAAACATTTTACACAATCATCTACAGATGGTAACTCTCCTTCAGATTCACTTTCAGTTTCAGTACTTTCATAAAGATTCAATTTCTAACCACAGAAAAATATGGTTAAAGTTGCATGTGTGTGTATATATATATATATATATATATATATATATATATATATATATATATATATATATATATATATATATATATATATATATATATATATATATATATATAGATATATATACATATATATACATATATATACATATATTATATACATACATACATACATACATACATACATACATACATACATACATACATACATACATACATACATACATAAATATATATATATTGCCATTTCCACGATGGAAGAGATAATTTTCGTGTTTAAATAACTTTTTTCCTTTAATTGTAGTGTAAACTTGAATTGCAAAGAGTAAAAAAACTTTTACTCTTTAAAATAATTCAAGTGTTTTTTTGTCACATACATATCTGCAAAAACTATGATGCGTCACTGAACTTAAAGCTAAAAAAGTTTAATTATCACAATAAAATTAAGCTTTAAGGCGATGTTTTTTTAAAAATTATATATTTTAATGTAAACTTTTCATCACTATTCCAAAAAAATTTGGTTAAAAAGGATTATATTAACTTATAGTTATAGTTTAAAAGCTGTTGCATCACTAAACATATCAACTGGATAATTAGCGTTTTATAAAATAGCGTGGTAAGTAAGTCAAAATATCACCCAAAAGTTCAGATTTAGTTGTGGGTTTTATTCTAATAAATCTGTCATATAAGTATTGTGAAGGGCTATTAGTAAATATTTGTAAATAATTGGATTCATGTTAGCATTTTCCGAAAAAGTTGTAAATTTTCAAGAAATGGAATCAAAATTAGAAGTAAAAAAAAAACGTTATGCAGAATACCAAGCTAATTACGTTTCTCGGAATGCTGATAAAAAAGAAAGAAATGTCCAGAGTAAGATCTAAGAGATATCGAGAAAAATTGAAACCCGATCCTAATAAAAAAGCAGCATATGCTGCTAAAGCAAAATTAAGAGTTTTAAAAAGTCGCGCTCTAAAAAGTAAACTTTTAAATCAATCTCTAAGACCAAACTTATCATTTAAAAACATTCAACAAAGAGGAAAGGCATTAAAAAAGGTTTTAAAAGCACTACCAACTTCAAAGAAGAAACAATCTGAAATTCTTTCTATTCTTTCAAATAGCTCTGCTTGTAAAGATAATTTGGGCCTACCTCCAGCATGTTTAAGCCTGTATGGCCTTTCTGAAAGCAATGTTTTAGAAGTTGTAAACTTTTATAATGAAAATGAAGTTTCCAAAGTATCATCAAACATAAAAGATGTCACTTGAATTTAATTATCTGACGAAAAAGCAAACGATATTCAAATATGTTATTTATATTATACGCAAAAAGAAGCTTTCGAGTTATTCAAGAAAAAGCACCAGCACATTAAAAGTGGACCTTCGTCCACGCAATGTAAAACCAGTTACAAAATTTCCGCATAATGTTTGTGTTTGTAGTTTGCATGAAAATATGCGATTTGCCTTAGATGCATTAACAAAATCAATTCAAGCGTCTTCAATCAAAGTTGGATCTGAAATAATAAATACCTTTGTTTGTGAACCATACACATATGATTGAGCCTATGACAAATGCGCTGTGTGCAAAGGTATGAAACAGTTCGATAAACACTTGCAAACTGTTAATACATTTGGTTTTGAAGTATCCTAGGACGAGTAGACAAAGCCTGAAACTAAAACATATGCAAACATTGAAAAAATTCCAAAAAAGTCTACTCTAACAGAACTCATCCAACACATATCATCAATGCGTGATAAGTTTGTTAAACATGCCTTTGTAAAAAAAAACCAATCAACAATTTTTAAAAAACTGAAGGAAGTTTTGATGAGTATTAATACTGAAATTACAGTAATCCAAGTTGACTGGGCTGAAAATGCTAGGTGTTTCTATTCAAATGAACCACAAGCAGTTCATTTTGGTCAAAATCAAGTAGTGATTTCGCCGGTTATCCGGTTTTGCGGTTAACCGGATTTTGTTCGAATATTAAATATCTATTTTTGAATAATAAAAACCGACTTAAAAATCTTATGAAATTTTATAGAAAGTAACAACGTAATTATGACAATCATTGTTTGACAAATGTTAATTTATCAAAGATTATAATAAATTTCTTTTATTAATTTAAATTTTAATTTAATCAGTTTTGTTTGACAATATATTCTTAAAACAATTTACAAAAGAAATCTCATGATTTATTTATTACTTTTGCAACTCAAGCAATACATTTTTAAGAAAGTTTCTTCAGAATATTCTATAACTCTAATTCACTTATTCAGCGTATTTTTTGAACCAATAGAATTTGTTTATTCGTAGATTTTAGTGTTAGCAAATACTCTTTATATTATCTTTCCGCAACAAGTTGTTTTGAGAACATTCAAGTTTATCTGTGTTTCCATCTATGTCCACATAACAAAAAGTTTTTAAAATACTTGCTAAAAAAATTAACTTCATAATATCTCATTTTTCCAAATCAAATGTTTTTATATGAGAGAATGATTTTAAAACATCCGCTGATATTAAAACATTTAAACTATACTTGTACATTATTCCTACCTTTTTTAATTATATAATTAAAAAGGTATATTATATTATAATTTAAAAAATATATATATATCTTTTTCCATGTTTTGTTATAAATATATAATATAGGACTGTATTCAATAACTGTCTTGAAAATGTAGACTTTAACATTAATTTTTGAATAATTAGTTTAAAACGCTACGTTTGTTGAAATTTAGAAGATCCTGTATTCAGAAAGCGTCACTAATTTACCGAATAGTCGATTAACCGCAAATTAATGGGAACTGTTATCCGGTTTTTGAAACTGATAACCGGCGAACTAAAATCAAGTTTCTATCATGATCCTTGCAGTCTGGAACATTGAGTTAAAAACATTTGCCTTAGTTTCTGATTCAACTGATCATACAAAGTCTTCCGTTATACCATACATTTACAAAACCCTTCACTTTATTCCTGATCAAGTCAAATAAGTACACATGTTCAGCAATAATGCCACCTCTCAGTTCAAAAACAAAAGCATTAAGGCTGCAATGGTTGTGTTCGAAAAACATTTTCATAAAAAATTCTACTGGCATTTCTTTGCAGCGATGCACGAGAAAGGAATGGTTGACTAATAGGAATAGGAATTACTGTTAAGCGAATCGCAGCCCTGAAAGTTAAATCTAATCAATGCGAGATCATCACTTGCAAACATGGATATCTCATTCAAAAATAAAGTAATTTAAAAAAGTTTCTATAAGCATTCCACTTTGATCTGAAAAACATTTACAATATCACTAAGAAACTAAAAAGAACTGTTCTTAATATTAAGAACTGTTTTTAATAGTAAGAATTATAAAACTAAGTTTTAACTAAGAACTTAAGTTTTTGCAGTATTAACTATGCTCAAGTTTTGTGGTATTTACTACTAGACTATGCTCAAGTGCTGTGGTATTTACTACTAAACTATTCACTATAAACTATGCTTAAGTTTTGTGGTATTCACTACTAGACTATGCTCAAGTTTTGTGGTATTCACTATTAGACTATGCTCAAGTTTTGTGGTATTTACTACTAAACTATTCACTATAAACTATGCTCAAGTTTTGTGGTATTCACTACTAGACTATGCTCAAGTTTTGTGGTATTTACTACTAAACTATTCACTATAAACTATGCTCAAGTTTTGTGGTATTCACTACTAGACTATGCTCAAGTTTTGTGGTATTCACTACTAGACTACATAATTTAAATACAAATTATATTTTAAAAAATTTGGACTAATGCAAAAAATATATATTTATAATATATATTAAAGGGTTCGGAAAAATTTGCATGCGCAGGAATTCGCAGATGAATAGTGTGCATACATTCGCGTAACTATGCGCGTAACTTTTTTTAATTTCAAATCATTAAAAACCATTAAATTGTTTTGACTATACAGACAGACAAAAAAATGAATTTTAAATCTAGTTTTCATGAAATTTATGTTAATTAATGTGCTTTTAAAACAAAAATATGATCTAGTGGAAAATGAAATATGTGGAATTAAAAGCTAACAACTTTTAACTCCACTATTAAATCTCTTTAATTAATGCACTTTTATAATTAATAACTTTAAGTTATTAATTATAAAAGTGCTTTAATTAAAGAGATAAGTAAGTAAAGCAATAAAAAACTGAAAACTTTTTAGTTAAATTAGACATTTTTCATCAAACAGTAAGACAATGGAAAACTTCACAATTAATATGAACATAATGTCCAAATGCTAGTGAAGATAAGAAACGATTGTTTGCAAAACGAAAAGCCGAATCATCAATCAACTTTAACAACGACATTATAATCTCAGCTGAAACATGCGAAGTAGTCAACAGTTTGATGAATCCTGAGGAATCAAAAAAAGAAATCAATATGAAATTAGTCAATTTCTTTTTCCAAACTTAAATATCTCTTCAAACGTTGAATCTGAAGCTTTTAAGGATTTAATCAATGCACTTAATACATCGTATGCACCATTATTACTGTAGGCAAAAACTGTCAGGTTCTTGATAAAAAGTATGAAGAGAGCTCTGCTAAATTGGAAGAAATTTTTGAATCATCTGAAAATTTAATGTTTGTCAGTGATGGTTGGACAAATATTGGTAGCAATCATATAATGAATTTTTGTATCAAAGCACCAAATAAAAAAACATTTTTCTATACTTCAATCAACACACCAAGCAAAATTTAAAATGCTGCAGCTGTTACTGGTGCTATCATTGAAGTAATCCAGACTCTCAGCCCACAAAAGTTCAGAAGCATTATCACTGACACTGCTCCAATAATGAAAGCTGTTTGGAAATTAATTGAAGAAAAATCTCTATACATCTCGACATATGGCTGTGCACTAGGGTGTGTCATTTAAAAATAATTTTATATATATAAAAGTTATAATTAAAAAATATTAGGATTTTACTTATAAATAAAGAAAATAACTTTAAATTTTTTTTTGTATTTTTATAGTTAACTACATTTTTTTCAAGTTTTACTGTTTATGACTAATATAAAAACTACTAAATGCTCATAAAGAAATGCTTGGCGGTTTTACTTCCTAAATCTACCTAGAAACAATATAAGTTCCTCCATGTTTGCTATTTTCTAACTTATTTGTTTATTCATTTTTTTTTTTGCCTAAGTAAAAAGAAATTTTTAAAAGTCCTTAAAACTCAGTTGCTTTTAAATTGAAAAAAATTGTTGTTTTATAAACTAATTGTAGAAAACTGTCAGTTTATGAACATTTTATAGAATAATAAACTTCTCAGAATTTCAAGAAAAACCTAAAAAAAAATTCAATTTATACTCTCACATAATTTTGACTGTATCAGAAAATGATGTGATCTTTGTAAAATCTTTTTCAATTTTTATAAATGCCTGTTAATAAAATAAATATTTCAATATTTCCTTTAAAAATTTTTTTAAGGAAGAAGCTTACATTTAAATGTAATTTATAAATTAAATAATTAAATATATCTAAATACAAGAATTTATAACTTAACAAAGATAAGATATAACAAAAGCTAGTTTATAGAAATAATAAAGTAATCAACCATCGGAATTAGTGTCGGCATTCGGCAATGAAGAACTAACTGCCAACCATAAAGTGTTTGAGATCGGCAAATAATTACCAACCATATTTCTTTGTTTTATGGTGAGACCTTTGTATCAATTTTTTTTGCCAACCTGATGCCGACCTCTAAAAGATTAAGGTCGGCAAATTATTGCAGACCTCGTTTTACCTAATTCGGAGGGTTGAATACTTGAGTAAATATAAAAAACTTATTATAAATTTTTTTAAATTTAATGTTATAATTAAGTATAAAATTATACATAAATATTCAAACAAAAAAAGCAGAGAAACTCATATTTTGCAAAATCTTAGTGCTGTCATCTATGAGCCATCTATGGCAAACAGATCCTTATAACAGATTTCTAGCATTACTAACTGCTTATGTAAATTACTAGACCTTATTGTATTGATTATTAGGTAAGCATAGCTTTGATCAGTACTCAAACTTTTGATAACAGAACAGATATCCAATATCAATCTTTGTAAAATTAGGATTGATTTCGAGATCTGTGGCTAAGTGCCTTAAACCTAACTCGTTAGTGTGAAGATCACAAACAATCCACACTAATCTCCTTTGCAATTTTCTTTCCACCCATTGCATCACACAAATTTCATACCCAGTATTTACATTTGTGTAGTCTTCTCCAATGGATTTTAATTGTATTCCTAAATTTCTTTTCATCAACCAGTTAACCAGGTGGTCTGCAATTATGTCAGCATGTTTTCTCTGATCACTCTTATCTAGAACAAAGTGAAATAGAAATCTACAACCTGGTTCAGTAACTACAGAAAAATGTTCTTCCTTAATAAAACAAGGGAAATACTTGTCATTAAATTCTGTTATTACTTTTGTATCATCTTCTCTGCCATTAAAAAAAAATAAAGGAAACTTCATTATTTTCAAAATATTTATCAAATTTTTTACTTATTTCCAATGCTAACTTCTCTTGTGCCTTTTAACCTTGTTATGATCAATAATTAAAAATTATTCTTTGTTATAATTCTTGCATCAATTAGTGCTGCTGTTGCTATTTCAGCAGTTTCCCTTAAACCTGTGCGATGTCTCATACTAGCAATTGCAATGTTTTTTATGTCCATCCTATTATAAACTTTTAGAATAATCTTGGAAGGTCATAAATCACTAGAAAAATCTGGTTCTGAAAGCTCTTCGTCTGTTTTTTCAATCTACAATTAAATGCAATATCTTATCTTATTGATATATTATTATTGTTTATAATTTTTAACAAAAGGATGTTTTTATAAAAAATAGTGTTTTTTTTTTTTAAGAAAATTTTTTTTTAAAAAAAAAAAAACATCTTTGCTTCCAACAAGGCTGCAAGCAACCACTAATTAGTGTTGGAAATTACTGGAAAAGAAAAGATGAAGATTATAGAGCAGGATAACATTTGACAGATGACTTAAAAGATTGCAAATTATATGATTCAAGAAAGCAATATGAAGGAAGCAAATTCCAAAGAACTAATGTTCGAGGAAAAAAAATAGACAAATTTTTTTTCCTAAGTTTTTGGAACACTTAGGAACAGTCACAGAAAAAGGATGAGACTTAATTGAATAATAAGTAACACGAGAATAAACTTTAGTAGATTGTGCATTTTTTAACCTATTATATTATTGTGCATTATAAACCCATTATATTATTTATAGAAAAGAAAAAGAGAAACAACATTACGATGATGTAATAATGGTAGGAGGTTGGCTGCAAGAGCCCAACTATGATTACAATGCATTTTTGTATCTTGTCTAAAAGAGAAAGGACATCATTATAAGATCCGCCCCAGATATGGCAACAGTATTCCATACAAGGCCGGATTTGAGATTTATAGAGATATAGAGTAGAATCTGGAGTAAGAAAGTGTTGAGCTTGATAAAGAGATGCAACCTTAGCAGATGCTATATTTGCAATGGATTTGATATACCGTTTCCAAGAAAGATCAGAAGAGTTAATCCTAGAAGATAAAGTGTAGATGACTCATCGATTACATTACCGTTTATAAATATAGGAAGATTTTTAATTTAATTTAATGATTTCATATTCAACAAAGATATTCTATAAGTAATTGTTTAACCTGTGCTATGAAGTCATAATTTTGCTGAATTTTTTGATTGATCTTCTCTTCTTTTATTTTACATTTCTTTGCTCTCTCCTCTAATTTGTAATGATGCTTCTCTTTTCTTTTTATAACTTCTTTTATTTTTGTTAACTCATTTATGACAACACCACCAATATGGTAATATGCAAAACAAACAACTTTATCTCTCTGTGACTTGATAAAGCTGATTTCTAATACAGGAACTTTATTTTCTCGCACACACAAGCATTTAACATGCAAATCGAACAAAACATTTGACACTTGCAGTATAAAATATCAACGAGTTTGTCAAATTTTGAAAATTCTCCTTTATTGATTTTTTAACATTTCCAAGGCTAATTTTAACTGCAGTTTCACAAAGATTCTTAAGTTTATCTTTAATGCTGAATTCTTGAATTTTTACTAGATGTACAAACTTGCAATTAGATTGCCACTGAGAAGATAAAGGAGTCATATCAGTAACTAGTTTATCAACAGTTTCTTTTTTTTTTACTTTACTTTCTCAAAAAAATCCCATATCCTAAAATATTCTTTGCAGTAGGGAGTGTAGACGATAAAAGTTGTTTTCCTCTACCAATAAACTTACATTAGTGAGTAGTTGATGTATTTCTTGTTTGTTTTTGTTTTTTTTGGTGCCATTAAAGTTAATTTTAATTAAATACTGATTTAATTATAAACTACTTAAATGTAGTTTATAAATTCTAATGTTGAAAGTCTTTTTATATATATGTCATTATTTTGAATATTTTTAAAACAAATTAAAATGTAGCTACAGCTTAATTTATAAAATTTTTTAAAATTTTATAAATTAATTATAAATTATACTTCATATGTAAATTGATACCATTATTTCACAAAATAGTTTCTTTTTTTCAAAATATTTGATTTTAGTCCTTCAATTGACACATCTTACTGTGCAGCACATAGTATAAATCTTCATGTTAAGGACATTTTGAGTATTGCTGAAAGTTCAAAGACCATCAAAGAAGCTGAGAAAACCATCAAGTTTGTGAAAAATCATCATATTGTTAAAGTAAAGTTTGATAAAAAGAGAATCGCAGCTAATATTCCTCACTCTCTCACAATGCCTGTTTCAATGAATGACTTAGTAAATTTAATTCAATAAACAATCTTTGTATGATGACATTTTTTTAAATGAGCACAAAGAATTATTGGAACATTATTGGTCATCAGAAATATCCAGCAGTATTTAAGTTGCAAAACCTTATATGATTTTTATCTAAGTTGAAATGATTTTTTTGCCAGCAACAGCAGAGAGAACTTTGTTGATTTTTCCATTTATTCATTCACAATTGAGAAATAATTTGACAAACGAATGTGAAAAAAAATTAGTTTTCATATATACCAACAGTGACATAAAAAATAATATAAAACAATAGTGTTTTGATGAATACAAATGACAAAAATAATACATTTTAGAGGAAGGAGCCTGAGTCAGCGAGTTTTGAGGAAGGAGCAGTTCTCAGCAAGTTTAGAGGAAGGAGCAGTTCTCAGTGAGTTTGAGTGTAAAGAAATGAGCAAATGTAATACAAAAACAAATTAAATTGTTTATTTTTTTGATATAAAAATTTTAAAAATCATGAAAATAATTTAAAATATTTCTTTTAATTTCAATTCACCTGCGTTTGATTTAAAAAACAATTAAATGGTATGTGCATATATTCGCCAATATGCGCATAAGTTCTGAACCCTAATAAATTATTATGAAATTGAAACCCATCATTTTGTATCAATTGAAGTCCTTAAAGACTATATCATCATCAATGCTTCATGTATTGCCCTGATAAAAAAGAACACAATATTTGCAAAATATCCAACTTGCTGCATTTTTTAGCTAATTAAACAAAAACAAAAAACAAACTTTTCATTTACTATGATTTCAAAATTCATTAACAAATACAACCTAAAAATTTAAAAGGTATGGTTTTGTATGGTTGGCATATGAACATAAAGTACAATGCAAATTGTGCAAGATAAATATTTTACAGATGTATTCTTTTTTATCGGGGCAGTATAGTAATCAGCAGTAAAAGATATTTGTGACTAATAACCTGATAATTTAACCATTTTTCTAATAATTTTATCAGTTACAGTATAATTGATTTTAATTAGCGTTTAATAAAATATAAAGTTGATTGCTGTTTGACTTTATCAAATTTTGAGTCACTAACCTTTATTGAAAAAAAAGTAATAATAAATTACTTCAATGTCTACAGGAGATACTTCAACATCCTCTTTCAGAGACACAACTGGTGTATAAACAGAAACACTTGATTCTATTAAAGTTAAATTTTTTTTATTATTATCAGCGCTAAAACATATTTTTAGAAATAGTATAGTTTACAAACCTGCATGCCTCATTTGAATTTTTTTTTCACATTTCTAAATTAAAAAAAAAAAATTATTTTGCTCAAAATAATTTTAACAAATCTTAAAATAGTTACTTTATTTTTTTTCCAAAATTTCCAAATAAAATCTCAATTCAACACTTTGTCAAACCAATTAAATTTCAATTCAAGACTCTGTCTAACAAAATAAGACTCTGTTTAATAAAATAAGATACTGTCTAATAAAATAAGACTCAAACAAATTTAATTTCAACTCAAGACATTTTCAAATTATAAATAAAAATTAATTTCAATTCAAGATTTTGTCAAACCATTTATCAAACAACACTTTCATTCAAAAACAATTTTTTTGCACTTAAAAATTAAGTAGATAGAGAAAGAAAGTATTATTTAACGCTATTCTTTTTTTTTAATGAATTCACTCCCATCAAGCTTGCTTGCTGCAAGCAACCTCTAACTTTCACAACCACTATGTACCACTATTTAAGTTGAAACAAATAAAGATTTAAGAAAAGCAGACATAAGATAGGAGAGAGAACTCCAAAGCACCAATGTTCCGGGAGAAAAACTAGATGAACTTAAGATTTTAGGGCAGTTAAAGTAAAAGAATGGAACTTTGCTGAACAAAAAGTCCTGCAAGATTAAGTTTTGATGAAACAAATGATAATAGTTCATTAAAGCAGCAATCATAGCATTTTCAGAAAAGAGAAAGTAATACAACTACAACTTTAAAAAAGTAATACAACTATAACTTTAAAAAAGTAATACAACTATAACTTTAAGAAAGTAATACAACTACAACTTTAAGAAAGTAATACAGCTACAACTTTAAGAAAGTAATACAATTTTCCAACAATCAGACAGAAGCTCAAGCTTGGCAGCTAGATTCAACAAAATTTAAAATGCAATTTGAATCTTATCTAGAAGAACCCAATTATGACAACAGTAAATTATGTAACAGTATAGTTTTTCTATATGTATATAGCTATTTTTCTACATTTTTAAAGGAATAAAACATAATACAGTAAGGAATAAAACATAATACATTTTTAAAGTAAAATTATAAAACAGTAAATTATGACAACAGTCCATAAAAGAACAGATAGAAGACTTATAGATGTAGAGAATGGAATAGAATGAAAATTGTAAGAAAATGGCAAGTACAATAGGGACAAACTTAGCAGATGCTATTTTTGCAATGAATAGCATATGTATGATCAAGTCCTATAACTCCAAAACATGAGCTTTAACTAGATAGATAACTAGATAGATAACTAAATAGATGACTAGATGTATAACTAAATAGATAAACAACCTCATATATAAATAACATAGATAAAACCCTCTTGTTATTTGTAAACAAGAAATCTGACAAGACAAACAAGCTGCTTTACTGATGTTGAAGAAGTTAGACTGATATAAGTGTACTTAGAATAATGTGTATATAAGCGTATTTAGATTGACTGATGCATATATATAAGTGTACTTAAAATGATGTATACCCTATTTAAAAAATGCTATAGGACCCTTTAAGAATTTGGAACAAAAATATTTTCAGATTTGAGACCCATTAAATTAAAGCACATAAGTTAAACAATGTTTATAATTATCAAAGTTTTGTCTTTTTTTGTTGTTTCAAATTCCTATAGGATATTTTGACTAGGGCACTTAAGTTTGCTTAGATTGGTTGATACATATATAAGTGTACTTAGATTGACTGATACAAATGATTAGGTCAATTTACATAACAATGGAAAAAAGAAAAAATATACGCAAATAATAGAAATATTTATAGAAAGAAGATATATAAAAGTATATACATAAGCATAGAAGTAAACAAGTTTTATTCCACATCAATTCCATGTTTTTTGTTTCATGTCACAACTTACTCCAAAATTGTTGATTTTAAGAATTATGAAAGAACATAAATATAAAAAAAAAATAAAAAAAAAACTACTTTGCAATTTTCTTCACATATCTAGTATACCGTTAAAGAAAATAAGATATTAAGTTTCATATTAAAAAATAAAAGTCTTTTCTTCTTTTGAAAAAAGTTATAATGTAATTAAAATAATAACCATCAATGAAACTTAATTCATAACTGTTCAAGTCAATAGTCATCAATGAAACTGAGTTTATAAGTCATCATCACCGATATAACTGAAATTACAACTCATAGTCATCAATCAAAATGAATTTACATTATCATCAATGAAACTGATTTCACAAATCATAGACACAGACTATAGAATAAAAAGTTTCTTAAAGTCAAGTGCCCTTAACTTAAAAAAATAACATTAACGCTGAAGCATTTTTTATAAACACATTAGTCATAATATAAAGTTTACCATAAAACCAGCCTAAACAATTTTAATATAACAATATATGTATAATTTTAATATAACAAATATATGATATAAAACAATTTAGTAATTTTTAAGAAATTAAAAAAACTATAAAATAAAAATTTATGTTATAATAATTATTATCAAAACATTAATCATTTAAAATTTTATTTTACCTGTAACATTTTATTTTTTCTTTGCTTTTTTTGCTGTTGTTTTGAATCAAATTTTGAATCTTTACTACTTACCATGCTTCTATTACATATTTTGTTGTCTCCTAAACATTTATAATGCAAAATATAAACTACTCCATAAGTGTACATATATATAAATATATGTACATATATATAAATATATGTACATATATATAAATATATGTACATATATATAAATATATGTACATATATATAAATATATGTACATATATATAAAGATATGTACATATATATATATATATATATATATATATATATATATATATATATATATATATATATATATATATATATATATATATATATATATATATATATATATATATATATATATATGTATATATATATATATATATATATATATATATTAGTGGTATGACTATATACACATATATGTATATACATATATACATATATATGTATAAATATATTTATATATCAATGTACATATATATACAAACATATATATATATATATATATATACAAACATATATATATATATATATATATATATATATATATATATATATATATATATATATATATATATATATATATATATATATATATATATATGTACATATATAAATATATATATATATATATAAATATATATATATATATATAAATATATATATATATAATTATATATATATATGTACATATATAAAGATATATACATAAATATATATATATGTACATATATAAATATAAATATATATATATATATATATATATATATATATATATATATATATATATATATATATATATATATATATATATATATATATTAGTGGTATGACTAAAAAGCACATTTCAATTTTTCGGAAATGGCATTGTGGCAAAAGATGAACTTTTACTTGTATTAACTTAAAATAATAAAACTTTTGATAGTTTTTGTCCAAGATTTATCAGTTGTTTTAAATTTTAGATAAGCTTTAAATTTTTGATAAGCTACAACCATTAAGTTTAATACTCCCTCTACTTTTGTTTCTAAAAGTTTCAATCAGGTCTTGACAAGAATTAGAAGCATGTTATGCACTGTAATGTAGAACAAAAAGACCAGTGACAAATTTTTTAAAAATTGCATAATCTGGAAATAACTATATAATACACATAGCACATGCCGTAACAAGTTAGAATAAAAATAGGAACAGTATACTTTTTATATTTTCTAAAAGGCTAGAGATACTATCTTATTATCTCCATTATCACAAATATCTTAACATTTTATTGTCTCCTCAAATTTTTTACTAACCAACCTTTGTTTCCTAATGGACTCTTATAACCTTTAAATTTTTTCTTTACTTCACTTTTTGTTTTGCAAAGTTTTTCGCGCGACATTCTTTGAACATACAACCCTTTCTAATCATTGAGAAAATTTACATCTTCTTGTCTGCTTTTTAAAACTTGTGTTATCTTTCAAGATGATGAGTTTTTCTATTTTTCATTAAACAAATCTTCCTCCTTTAAAACCACATTTTTGTCGTTATAGTTTTATGGTTTTATGGTTTATGTTTGTTTAAATTATTTCTATTCCTTGTTAAGTTAATATTCTTGTCTCTAAATTGCATATCAAAAGTAAAAGAATTTATTAAATATATTTCAACTAAATACATTTATATATTGATATTTTTATAATAAAAACATATTACTATATTATCAAGTCAATTTAAATTTGGACTGAATTGTAAATTTATAAGCATTTTACTATAATATAGTAAACAACTGATATGTTAGTCAGTATTTTCTCCACCTAATAAAGAGCGCATGGTAAATTTTTTTTACCATGAGATAACCTCCTATTTCAATACATTAAAAAAGAGATATAAAGCTATATTAATTGTAGAAATGCTTGGAAAATTAACACATAAGATAACCTCTGTAATACAGTTTTCTTAATAAGCTAGTGTTATTGGTTATGTATTATGTGTTATGTGTTATATATAATTTCAATTCTTTTTCCAACATTAAAAACTTCAGAATGAGATATTTGTTATAACAATTACTTGTTGACATTTTTTTTATTTACAAAAAAATTTCACTAAATTATTTTTTGACTCTTCCTCCTCTCTTCCCCCCTCTCTCCTTCCACTCTCAACAACCCATTGAAACATTTAGAAACAAAAGAAGACGGAGAAGCAAACCTAATGGTTGTAGTAATCATTGTTTAAAATATAAAATAGCTGATAAAAAATCTTGGATAAAAACCATAAAATAGTCTTTCTTTAAATAAAAAATGTACAAATACAAAAATGTTTTATATTTAAAGTAAATTAAAAAAAAATTAAAAAGTCACTAATATATACATTAGGGGTAAGATTAAAATGGTAATTTCATTACTCGGAAATGGCGACAAAAGATGAACTTTTACTTGTATTAACATAAAATATTATTACTTTTTTCCAAATCAAAAAAAAACTACCCCACCTGTGGAAAATAAATTTTTCAAAAAAACGCAAACATTGAAGAAAACTCTACTTTGTCAAGTGCAAAAAAAAACAAATTGACTTGTGTAAACAAGATTCAACTTACAAAAGGCATTAACAGCCAAACCAGCAAACTAGTTCTTTTTATAAATCAATGATATCAATAATTCTTTATTTTATTTATAATTTATACATTTATTTATTATTAAATATTTATCATTTAGTTTCTAATTTAATTTATTATTTTGCGATTATTGTCGAGAGCTATAGCCTTAACCTCTCTTCATCTAATGCACAATAAAATTTATTGGTTATTACCCTTAACAAATCAGCAGTAGAAGATGGAACAACAAGAAGATGGAAATCCATATAGATAATCAGAAAGTTACTTAATTCAAGATGAGAGATAAAGCGTTTTTTAAATAAAGACTAAAAAATTGCTTATGATAGTAAGAAGACTAATGGGACAGTAGATAGACGATTCAGATTGCTCTCCAGAATTTTTGAAAATAGGGATAACAATGCCGCTTTCCAGCAGGCTGGAAAACAAGACTCTAATAGGCACTTGTTTAATAGTTTTGAAAGTAACTTACTATAACAAGTATGTTGCTCAGACCATAAGCTGTGGAGAAGTCTAAGCAGGAAATCACCTTAAATATAGAAACTACACTTTAGATAAACAATAATTTTGTTACGCTAAAAAATTTTGGGTCTCAAAAACTTAGATCTCTGGAAAATACATATTAAATATTAAACATCAATCTTAGCTATTATTTTGTTACCACTGTGTACATACATATATACATATATATGTATGTATACATATATACATATATATGTATGTATACATATATACATATATATGTATATATATATATACATATATATATATATATATATATATATATATATATATATATATATATATATATATATATATATATATATATATATATATCATAGATTATCCTGGCCTATTATAAAAATCCGGAAATTTTTCCTTAAATATCCAGAAAAAATCTGGAAAATTTTTTATAATATCCGGAAAAAATCCGGAATTTACAAAGAGATGTTAACAAGAAGGGAGGGCTCTCCTCCATTCTTTTATATTACTATAATATTACGCCATTTTAAGAGTATCCTTATTCACCGTATAAATGAATGAAAAACTGAATAGTTTTTTCATCAAAAAAAGAATAATAATAATGATAAAATTTTAACAATAATAATAAGAAGAAGATAAAGTCAAAGAAGAAGTAGAAAACTATATTTAAAAGCTGTTAAACAATGCGGAAACTTTTTTAGACATGCACTTATACGTTTAAATACATAATGGGTAATGAAATATTGCTTCAATTTAACAAAGATATACAAATAGAAAAACGTTTAATGCGTTGTTAGAGATCAGAGGTGCCACCATAACTGAAATCACATGGGCGTTATTTGAGCATTTGGGTTTTTTTGTAGTAATTTTACAAAATAAACCGACATATATCCGAGACTTTTGCTTGCCAACTTCTTTCAGTAAACATTTTATTACCTGTAAAACACCAACTTTTGGAAAATATAAATGAATTTTATTTTAACTATTTTCGGAGCATACTTTAATCGCAGTAAAAAGAAAAACTAATAATAATAATAAACACCAGACTTCTAAAATACACAAAATTAGAAATCTTTAGTAATAAATATGTTAAAAAAAAATAAAATAAAAGCAAAAAGATATTGAATTATTTTTCTGTAATCAGTTAGTTTTCTACAATTAGTTCTTCCATTAAGTGTTTCAAATGTTTTAAACTTAATTTACAATACAAAGCCTTCTTTTATAAAAAAATCTCCGCGTTTAAAAACTAAAAAAAGTTTAAACGTTCGTTAGATATAGTTTAAATAAAGTTTACTTTAACTATGATAAACAAAAGGTGAGGCATTATTAATGATTCACATGCTCATTCATGTGATTCTAAACTTAAAAGATTTAAAAAAATGATTTTTTTAAAATCTTTTAAATTTAAAAAAAAAAAACATATTTTAAAATCTTTTTAAAAAAATAATTTTTTTAAAGAAAATATAATTAATTTTAACAGGCGCTTTTTGAATTGAAAAGAAAACGTGCCTCAAAATGCAATGTTTTTAAAAACCTAATAATGCCATTTAAAAGCAATTTGATTCACTTGACCTTTAGTCAAAGTACATATGCTTATATTTCTTTAAAGTAATTACATAGTATAAAATCCTTATAGTTTAGAATATAGTTTTATTATATAACACTTATTTGTATAAAATAACTTATTACTAACAAAGTAATTAATCTTAGTCAGTAATAATGAGTTTTTTTTTAAAAGTTTTTTTCACTCTTTACAAAAACAAGTTGTATCGCACGACCATAATGTTACACCACGGTATTAGAGTAACTGTAAGATTCAGGCCTTGCGATGAATAAGAACTGCGCGACGCATAAGCATGACGTGATTTTTGACGTCATTAAATTCTTTTTATTTGCTTTTCATATTTATCGACATTAACTGCACCAATTTACTTAATTACCGCAAAACTACTTTAAATCATTTATGTAGAAATGTTATTATTTAAAAATGTTTTGGAATGTTTCGTTTTTTAAAATGTAAAAATA